GGAGGGGGAGGAGGAGAATAAGCAATTACATACCTTTCAGCAACATTTTGCTTTCAGTGAACTCTGAATGACTACTCATTTTTCCCACTCTATCTCCCCAGATCAGAACCCTTTACTTACTACCCCAGGGGGCTTCATACAATCATCCGGCAGGTCTTCCATTAATTTCTCCAGGTTTCTACCACTTGCTTCCCATTTCCTTTTCAGCATGGACTTGTCCCTGCAGTATCCACTAAGCATAAACTGCTCCATGGATAACTGAGAAATAATCTCATCCTTGCTATGCTTTTCTGGCTGCAACATTGAGTGAAAAAACTTGTAGAGTCTTTGTAGTTCCTTCCTTGCACTTGAGTTATCACCGTATCGAAATGAGTTGATATCAGTGCTTGGGAACTCAGAGAGCTCTCTCTTTGGGACACCAGAACTTGGAGTAGATTTAAACTCGAGGTTTTCTGATTCAACACTGTCTGTGGAGGGTTCACGAAAAAATGATTTTCTGAGATCTAAAGCCATTCTTCATGAATGTTCTCAGACTTAACTTTTATGATTCGGTCTCTGCTGCCTTGCACTTTTGGGGAATCTACTTCAACAACTGCTGGATGATTAAATACTGTAGGGTAGAAATAAGAGATAAATAATTAAAGACAAGTCAACAAAAATGTCAGGACCAGAGAGCATCATGGGTGAATTCTCAGACATTTTTAAAGATATCACTCTAATATTGCACAAGTTCTACTAGGAGGAAAACTCACTTATTTTCATTAATGAGATCAGCATTTCCCAAACAAGAAAACCTTACAATTATATTTGAATAATCCACAGAAAAACATCTGCTAATGAAATCCAATCCTATATAAGGAGAACAATAATGTATCATTAACAGTGGTGTTAATTTTCAAAACTCAAGAAATGTAAGTTAAAAATTAAAGCCAGCTCGATTTACTATGCTAGTGGGATGTAGAGAAACATGATATAGTAATCTCAGTAGTACATTAAAAATGAATGCTAGTATTTGTTCTTAAACTTTTCTGTAAATGTTGGAGCCACGTCCTCCATCATCTCTGTGATACATTAGACTGCTCTCCAACCAACTCAATGAAGTTTATCTATATATCATTTTCAATAGTCAGTTTTGTTTACAGAACAACATTCAATAAAGATTAATTTCAGTGCATTTAGCGCAGTGACCAATACAAGACCAATTTAAAATGAACTGATTTTTGTGTTATCACGGATCATTACATTTTTTAAGAACTCTTTTCATTGATCTTCACATTAAGAATCAATATCTAAGAATAGTTCTAACAAAATACTTGCAGGAACCCTACAAATATAACTATAAAACGTCAAGGAATATAGCAACTCTTGCCACCCTACCATTCTCTTAAAGCATTGACTTTAGAAAACTTTTTTGTTTATTGGCATGCACCATCTGGAAGTGCAAAACTATATTGTTAACAATATTTAGGATGTGGGGGTTTATTTTGACACAGGGTCTCGCTATGTTATTTAGGCTACACTTGAACTCATGATTCTCCCACCTAATCCTCCCAAATGGCTAGAATTTTAGGTATGCACCAGTATGCTTAGCTTTAGATATTATTTGAGGTAATATTAAAGATGAGAGTAGCTTTTTAGGAGGCTGCTATCTCCCTTATGGATTGAGAGTTCCTAAGGAAATAGATTTCCTGTTTTTAGCTGATAATATTCCCTGGAAAGTAGTTACACAGAAGAGTTAGCTCTTCCTCACACTATAATTATAATTCTCATAGTTTCCTGTATGTGTGTTTGACTTCAATAAAAGTGCTCATTCAATATAGCAGTTTGGCTGGGCATGGTGGCGCACACCTATAATCACAGCACTCAGGAGGCTGAGGCAGGAGGATCGCTACAAGTTCAAAACCAGCCTGGGCTACATTGTGAGTTCCAGGTCAGTCTCAACTACATAGTGAGACCCTGTCTCAAACAAACAAAGAAACAAACAAAAAAAACAATATAGTGGTCAATATAGTGGTTTGAAATTTTAACTGTGGTCTTAAATTTTTATTTGAAATCATTAAATACAGGCCATGATCTAGGGTTAATATGTCTGTATTAGTCCCTTGTCTGTTGCAGGGACAGAATACCTTAAAACTTAAAAAGAGGAGAGATTTATTTTGGCTCACAGTTTCAGGAGTTTAAGTCCAGTGCTGACTGGCTCCAAGGCAGAAACACCATTGTCACGCCAGCTGTGGTGGTGCACGCAGGTAATCCCTGCACTCGGGAAACTGAGGTAGGAGGATCACTGGAAGTTCAAGGCCACCCTGAACTACCAATCAAGACCCTGTCTTAAAAAAAAAATGAGAAAAAAGGAGGGGGGAGGGGGGAGAGGAAAGAAGAAAAGAAAAGAAACCATTGCAAAGGGCCTGGTAGGAAGAGCCCAAGATCAAGGAGCCAGGTGCCCCATATCCTCCAGAGCACACCCCCACGACACTCTCAGACACACCCAGTGTCTTGGTCCAGTCAGGTTGACAATCAGAATTAATCAAAGTTTCTTAGTTACAAGAAAATAAAATATCAGAAAAAGTGGATAATTCACAATAGACACAATGTAGAAACAATTTTGACGCTCGCCTGATAAATGAATAAGGAGCGTGTGGAAATATCTGTATGGATAGAGAGACACATGATGGAATAGGGCTCAATCTTTAAAAAAAGACATATTGCCATTTCTTACAACGTGAGTGAATCTTGAGTACTCTGTACTATGTTATATGAAATGAGCAGACGGAGGAAAAATATTGTGCAGCTTCACATGTCTGCAGAATCTTTGAACTCACAGAAACAAAGAATGGAAATGTGGTTCTAGGCTCGGGGTGGGCAACGTGGAGGAATGTTGGTCAGAGGGTCCACATTTCCGCTGTAAGATGGGTGAGCTCTGGGGACCTTACATCTTCATGAACACGGCGATGCCCTGTATATTTAACTTGGCTAACAGAATGGAGCTTCAGTGTTTAGCCACGCACACAGAAGGGCAGCTGAGGTGTAATAGATAGGGAAACGGCCTTCACTGCGGTAATCAATTCATAATGCATCTGCATATTAAATACTATGTTGTATAACTTAAATTCACACAATCTTCACTTGTCATTTATAGCTCAGTAAAATTAAGGGGGCAGGAAAGAAAACATTGAGAATGCAGCAAAGAAAAAAGTGAATGAAATAAAAAAGCCAGGCCAGAACCCATACAAATGTCACCTTCCTTTGGCCTGAAAACTAAATCAGCATTTCTTTTCTTCCCAGCTTTTAACAAGTTACAATTTTGTTTATCAGTCTGCAAATCCTGTGTTTCCCTCTACAATGCATCCTCTAGAAGAGGTGAAATGGAGTTTGCACTGCTCTGGCTTGATCTGAGACCTGGGCAACTAGAGGATCATCACTGTTTTGTTTTGTTTTGTTTTGTTTTTTGAGACAGGGTCTCACTATGTAGTTGAGACTGACCCAGAGCTCACTATGTAGCCCAGGCTGGTCTCAGACTCATAGCGATCCCCCTGCCTCAGCCTCCGGGAGTGCTGGGATTACAGGTGTGTTCCGCCACACCCGGCAAGAGGAGCAGCATTTAAAATGCCCAGTAGATTAAAGATTTATCCCTCCTTTTACACATTGCTCTATTTTTTTGTATCCTTTCCCCATTTTCTACGGTTAACATTTCAAAGATTAAAAAAAAAAAGCAGGCAGTTGAGGTGGCTCATACCTGAAATCCTAGTACTGTAGAAGGCTAGGACAATATGAAAGTTGACAGGGAGAGGGAGAGGGGGAAGGAGCGGGCGAGGGAGAGGAGAAATTTCATGCTGTAAAACTGGAAACTGAGGGCATTTGGTGGGAGTGATACACGGGCACGTGAACATGATTGGTCCTTCCTTGCTGGCGTCATGCCACAACCGCTTGTTAATCTTAGGTCTAATCAGACTAGCCAGCAAAGACAATGAACACTCTGGTCTTGCCTAATCCTTTTATCACAAATCTAGTCCCAAGGGTATGAAATGTTAATCTGTCCAAGTCACACCCTACTTCACGCCCTCCAGGCTCAAACTTGCCATCAGGGAAAAGTACAAGCCCGTCATTGGCCCTCAACACCTTCCGGGGCCAGCCCTAACCCTTGAGGTCCATTTCAGGTTTTGTGCCTCGTTCTCTGGATCTGGGTAAACTGTAATCTCTCTCTCCGACTCCTCCCTCCCTCTCTCCCTCCCCCCCCACCCCTGCCTCTCCCCCCATCTGGACTTCACAAGTTTTCTCCTCCTGGACCCCATCTTTCCTTCTGCCACCACACATAGGCCACACAGGTTCACACTTGAAAACATAGAGCCGCACACCATTATGCGAAGACCTTGGAATTCAAAACCAGGCTGTTGAGATTCTGCTGTGGAGTCAGACAACACAAGGTTTGTAGCCCCTATGTGATATTTTGGTCATGGATCACTCTGATCACTAAGGACACCCAGCTCCCCAAGTGGATACAGAGCTCAGAGTTACATGCAGTAGGCACTTAGACCCAGGGCTGCTAATACAGCGGTCTCCTCATAACCAACGCTTTGCTTTGCCTTCCTTTGTTCCAGTCATCAGCCATGATCTGAAACTATTAAATGGAAAATGAAGCCAGGCGTGTTGGCACACTCCTGTAATCCCAGCACTCAGGAGGCCAAGGCAGGATGACTGCTTCGAGTTCAAGGCCAGTCTGGGCTACATATGAGTTCAAGGCTGTCTTGAAATACATAGCAAGATCTTGTCTCAAAAAACAGTGGAAAAAAAAAAAAGAAAGAAAAATAAATTATTCATAGCTTTTTAGTTCCAAGCTATTCTGAGTAGCACGGTGAAAATCTTGCGTTGTCCCCTTCTATTCTGCCTGGACTTAATCAGACTATTTTAAGTGAATCTGTGCTATAGAGGCTTCCTGTTTATTAGTCACTAAACAGCCCTTTCAATTACTATCTCAGTTGTCAAGCAACAACCTACTTGCCTTCAAGTACCTCTTACTCTTTTCAATAATAGCCCCAACTGCAAGAACAGCTACGCCAGTGGTTCAGATATGGCAAAGAGTACGCATAAAGTGTTCCCTTTAAATGAAAATGTGGAAGTATTTGACTTAGTAGGCAAAGACAACGTAGTACTCAGATAACACTAAGATCTGCGGCAGGAACAAAGCCAAGTATATGTAAGGCTCAGTATATCCCTGGCTTCAGGTATCCGTGCAGGTTTTGGAACACATCCACGAAATTTACTGTATTGATAGTCACATTTTAAAGTTTAGTTACCACCTTCACTCTGATCTAACACAGACCAATACTTCCATTAGACAATAAAAATGAGGGCCAGGGACTCAGCTCAGCAGTGCCACTACTGCCTCGAAAGCACAAGGTCCTGCGCTACGTCTCCGCTACCACACACACACACACACACACACACACACACACACACACAAAAGTGGGAAAAAAGACACAATAAAAACAAATCATTAGCTGGGCATCGTGGCACAC